CATCCTTTCGATTGTTTCTTCTTCTAGGTACTGATTTACCACTCTCGCACGATGTGGCCTGGCATTGTCATCCATCAATATGAAATCTTCACCGATGGCACCAGCGTAAGGCCTAACAATTGGTGCAAGGATCTCATCCCTGTAGCGGACACCTGTTAGCGATCCATTCCTTATGACATAAAGGTCTGTGGAGCCATCGTAGCTGATACCTGCCCAAACCATGACTGATCCACTACCAAACCGGTCATGTTCAGTGATGCAGCAGTCCTTAAACCTCTCGTTTTTCTTCCTCCATACTCGTCTGCGACCATCATTAAAATCCAGACAAAATCTGGATTCATCAGTCCATAACACTCCTTGGATATGATGATGGTCCCAATTGATATGGTCTTGAGCAAACTGGAGGCGGCGGTTGCGATGTTCCACGGTCAAAGGTGGGCGCACAGCAGGTCTTCTGGCATGTAATCCCGCATCATGCAGTCTGTTTCTCAAGGTTTGTGTTGAAATCCTTATACCTGTTGCTGCAGATAGCTCTCTGTTCAAAGCAACAGCTGAAGACATTCGATTTCTCTTCGCAAGTAGGGATATTTGTCTATCTTGTCTAACAGTTGTACTTTTTGGACGACCACTTTTAGGTCTCGGTTTGACGCTATTAGTCTCTTCGTATCGTTCCAACAAACAACCTATAACAGAATGACTTACACCAAGTTGCGCTCCAACATGACGCTGTGAACATCCAGCTTGAAGCATTCCAATGGCCCTTGCGGCTTCCTCTACTGTCAGATGTCTTCTCTGAGGCATGAAAACGTGTTAAATGGCAAAAAGCAACAAATATTGTACAAATAATCGAATCTTGATCCTTTTTGAGGTTGTCAATGAGTATAGAATACAGCCAATATCACAGAAATGTGGATAAAGCAAAACGTTCAATTGGCAAAAATCACAGGAATGGAGCACAAATCAAGAGTGTGTTTGAATAACAATCCATAAAAATGTATGGAAACCCAGATAAAACAAAAAAGTGCAACAAAAAATAGTTATAGATTTTAAAACTTCCAAAAAAGTAAGTGGCCCTTAACTTTTTTTGTTGAGTATATATAAAAGATTATAAATACTACAAATAGAAGGCACATTCACAGAAAATATAATATTTTAAAAAACTGAATTGCAAGAACACATGTTCCAGTCAATTGATTCTATGATTACTTTAATATGATATGATGCATTCCATTAACATATATATGATACATTCAAATGTAACTTTTATGTAGAAAAATAAAACTTACTGTGTAAGAAAATGATGAAGATATTGTTGCATTCGCCACTTGCTGACTTTTTGTCACATACAATAATACCCGATACTGCAAAATAAATAAGCTTCGATCATGATAAAATTTTCCATCAGTTTTATTAAAAAATTTTGCTCACAATTTTACTGGATTTCAAAAACAATTTTCAACCTAAGAAATTTCTTACAGAAAGGCTAGAATGAGATCCCAATATCGCTGCACCTAATTTTCCTTGGCTGGCATACTTTCCATCAACACTACAAAATGTTAATCAAATAATTCATTCCTATATTTAAGTTTTTTTTTTAAATGCAAACATGCAGAGAACATAAATGTTATTATGCTAGATTAACATTTGATAAAATATCTATCACAAAACTTTATACTGTAAGCAAACTTTTTTTTCGCGAAGTTGGCGAGAGCTGTTATTTCTCACCGCGAACCAGTTCTTAAAGTTTCTGTGTCTATTAACAACAGATCCAAAAAAGGCTTGACCACAAAAATTAATCGTTGTGAGCTAGTTCAACCCCTGTAAAATGCAAAATAAAGTCCTCACGAATAAAAGATGATTTATAGTATACTAAGTATGAATACCATGTAAATAACCTTACTATTTATAAGCTTGTACTGCTGTGGCAAACAGAAGCTGTGGAGCTGCACCAGACTGTGCTGTCGGTTCTGAAAAGGAAAATCTCAAAATTAATTTATTCATAAAATTATAAAGATTTTGACAAGACATTGATTTTTACAGGTAAACTTTTACCTTTTAACAGGAATATTGAACAATCATGTAATTTGATCATTAATTATATTAACAATTTAGTTTTGGCATTGCTGAAATCAATTGCAAGCGCCACTTAAAGTTCAATCATAAATATTGTATAATAAAATAAAGAAAGTAATCCTCATTATTTATTATAAATAGCTATGCTTTTTGGATAAAATGGCTAACATTGCTGAATACTAAAATAACGTGTTACACAGTACGATCTCAGTATTCCTACCTGCTTTCTTTGGCTGCTTTGGAGCAGTGTATGTCAGGGATTCATTTCCACCTTGACTTCCTCCTCCAAACAATGAAGCCAGTTTAGATCTGAATTCAAAAACAATATGTTCACAATTTTTTTTTCAAACTCAAAGACCATTAGACCTGGGAAGAGGAGATATTTATTGCATAGCATTGCATGTTTACACATTAAATTGACAATTAAAGAGCTTACTATTTCATGGCAATGTGTATTTAAAAGTTAAATAAAAAATTATGTACAAGTATTACATAGTCAGAGTTAAATTTTTTTGTAACTCAATCAGCTTGCCAAACAGTGGAGTATCTGCAGTGGCGTCATGAGTTTCCCATTGTTTAACAACAACTGCAGTCCAAATTGATTCCCAGTTGTTATTTATTTCCAAACCCTATAAGTTTGCATGGTATAAAAAATCACCTATATTGAATCAGCATAAAGTCGTTTTCATATGAACAAATTCAACCATGGCCGCTAGATTCATCTAGCAAATTAGACAGGACATTGTACCTTGAAATTTCTATTTCAAACTGATAACAGTTACTGATTTTTTAGTATATTTTTGCCATTTTAAAATGTATTACCGCGGAGAGTCATGCCATCAATTTCTGTTATACGGAGTTTACATTACCACTTTTGACAGCCATGCTTAGATTTGTGATACACATTTTCAACATCACACAGAGCTTTTAAATGATATGTAATGTTTTTGTTTTACATGAAGATATGTTATTGTTATAAATAAAACAGAGATAGGGATTTTGTTTATCTGATAAGCCCTAACCATGGTACCTGATTAGTGCCCTTATCTTGGAAGTCTAATTAGTGTCCTAATTATGGCGCTTATCAGATGCCCTAAATGTATCAAGTGTCTTGACACCTAACAATGGTGCAGAGGCCCTAATACTTGGAGCCGATTGCCCTAATAGGTGCCCTAATGATGGAGCCGATTGCCCTAACAGGGTGCCCTAACGATGAAGCCTAACGCCCTAACAGGTGCCCTAACCATGGAGCCTAACGCCCTAACTAGGTGCCCTAAATCACGTTAGGTGTCAGACAGGGTATATAAAGAGAGAGAGTTAGTGAGTAGATATACATAGCTTGGATTTGATTTGTAAAACTACTCTTGGATATTGTTAATACACTCGTTGAAACAAACTTTGTCGTTGTTATTATGTTAGATCTATAAAGATCTAAAGTTCCCATCTTCTACACGGGATCCACAATATTTTTGTGACGCGGGTAACAACAAACACCCCATAGAGAAAAACGTTACAGATAACTGTTTAATCAATCAAGCGTTTACATGATTCTTTCCCATTCTGTGTATTACTCAAACATACAGATGGACACCTAAATCGGGTTAAATATAATGAAAAAAATTAAGAGTTGTATCAGTTGAAAAAAAATTCTTCGGACCGCATTAATTTACCCGAGTGGGCCGGCAATGCCAAACAAAGCTAATTTTATTTTTGGCCTAGAAAATGTTCATTGAAAGGCTAATGTTGTAATATATAAAGAAATTCTGTTGTTAAAACAAAATTAAACCCAAACCCCTTTACAAAACAGGATTTTCGGGTTCGCAAACTTATTTTTCAAAAAGTTTCTTTTTCAAAAACTTTCAGGTAATCTGTATCAATGAGTATTTTTTCCCAGATTGATCAACCCCCCACTTTTCAAAAACATATGACCCCCTATATCCAATTAGTTATTCAATTAACTACATGGATATATGTTTAACATACCTTATAATAACTTTTTTCCTCTTAAACCCCCCCCATTTGGATGCACTTTATCATATAAACATTTAATCTCTGTAAGATTCTTAGATGCTAAAAATTCTTAAAATTAAAAACAAAAGGCTTTGCATGATTTCCCAAATCACTTTGTGTCAGACTAGTTTGAGATTCAAAGGAAAAACCAGACCAAATTTTTAAGTCTCCACGAATCTCCCTGAGATTTATAAACATTTACAATAATAATTTAAGTCATTTAATTTCATCTTTCTTTTAATTTTGGGCAACCATGTATTGCATTTGGACAAATCAAGGTTTGAGCATTCTTGCCTAATGGACAATTAGACATATAAGTCTGAAAGTTAAATTCTATCCTAGCAGGGAGGGAAAACACCCTAAAAGCATTCTTGCCTAATGGACAATTAGACATATAAGTCTGAAAGTTAAATTCTATCCTAGCAGTAATGTTAAATTGCATTGTGGACTGAATCAACTAATGCATGTTGAATGCACCACCCCCTTTCTTGATAAGTGCAACTGGTAAGAATTTGTAATGATTGGGACACTTTTTACAGACCCTCCTCCTCCTGGCGTGAGGAAATCTTGGTCCTCATCATCAGCGCTAAAGAACATGATCTAGATTGGTGCTAATGCCGTGCATAAAGAAAGAACAACTCCATCAAATCATGGTCACTTTCGTCTGCCGTGCGGAAGTTGACAGTCACAAGACCTCACAGAGCTAGGAAAGAGTTAATAGTTTCGAAATTTTAATATACCAATAAAAGCATCATTAATAACAAAACAAACATTAATCAAAAATATTATTATGTTGTTTTTAGTTTTGAGATTGAAAGAAAGAAACAAAACCGTTCGTTGATAAACTATTTTTTTTTTAAATTATGTAAGATCCGAAAATATCACTGAAGATGTGTGACCTTTCACCTGAAACTAAAAGGTTGACGTCGATCATTCTGAATGAAATTGAAAGCTTATTCATAAAATCGTGATGTATATTTAAATCATAATTATTTGGTCACTTAATTCATGACATAAAGTAGCTTTATAGAGGAATACCCGTTTTAAGAACGTAAGGTAAGAAAGAAATTGATTTCTAATATTGTTTAAAGTTGTTTATTATTTATTTTCATCAGATAAACATATGACATCATGTCACAGGTGTACATCTGTGTTATTCTTAACAGATTGGAATTTATTTATTCTTATTAATTCAACACCAGCTTGTGTAAAATCGGTATGTATTATAGCAATAAAGTCGATGATATGGGTCATTGTACCCAATCTTGAATAGCAAGCACCTGTTTATACAACTTCATTAACATTATACAGTTTATTGTAAAATGTTGGATTGACACTGCCTGCCAGTTTTAGTACCTTGGAAATAAACAATTACGAAATTGAAAATCCAGCCTATTTCGACCAATCTTATTTTCATAGCAATTATTACTTGAAAAGACTAAAAAAACGATAAAAAATTAAATTCAGTAATACATGTATGTTGATGGTATTACCGTTAGGATGAGGGCAGAACCTGTACTAATTCAGTTATTATTTAGAATTGGGTCGTCAAACTTCAAGTAACATTTGTGAACAAAAAAATCTTTTGGATCAATGTGTATAAGTCCAAAATTTTCTCTTGACGCCCGGCATTGACGTTAGAGTTCGCAGTGAGGAGTATCACTTTGTGTCGCTCGCTGTGCTCACCAATAAGTATTTATATTAAAAAAATGGTAAAATGAAATAGTTTGAAAAACCTGGATTTTCAATTTGCCCTGGCTTTTGTTTGCCTACCAGTGTACCTTATACCTATTTTCCTTATTAAATCTTGACTAGGTTCAAACAGTTGTTAACTTCTTACACTTTTAATTAATATATTTTTGAAATTTTGAATGTAATAATTCATAAAATCAGAGACATGAGAAACTAGCAAGTTAAAAGAATTAATTTCTTCAGTTAATTTGTCAAAAAATATGGTCATGGTTAATTAAAACATTAAAATTAAAAAAGTCCCATAGGGGTGGTTTGCTTAAAATTTCACATCATAAATTTTCCCCTTAGGCATAATACATTGTAACACATTAAAAACCTGAAATTGAACCTAAAAAAAATTAGGACCAACCTGACCTGTAAAATTATGGAACTGTGACAGCCCTTCCATCAGTGTATTTCAATTATTTTATTATTTTAATTTCCAGATAAATTGCTATACTATGGATCCTTTTATCATACTTAGGTGACCATTTAGGCCCTTAAGCCCTTAAGCCTCTGAATTTTTGTTTTGTACAATTTTTTAGCAGATTCATATATCTTTTGTTAAAAAAAAAATAGGTCTAGGTCATTTAACTAAACAAAATTTAATAAATGTACGTGATGCATGCATGGCTTCATGTTAGGATGCTGGTATGAATATCAGTATTTACAAGAGAACATAAAAGATCACCTTCTTAATTTTCACAGCGAAGTTCAAATGGCTGAGTAGTTTTGAATCCATGCAGTATTCATGTAAGGGGGTTGAGGCCCAAGGAGGGGATGGGGGCAAATTAAGCTCTAAAAGGAAACTTCATTTTTTTGTCTTTTAAAAGCAGATTTGTAAGTTAAGATATTTTAACTATCTTTTGGCATAATTAGAAGTAAATTCTAATAACCAGAATCTAAGGATTTATTCAGTTTTAAGCAGGGCTCGAGCTGTGATTCGCCATTGTCGCCAATTGCGAATTTTTTTCAAAAGTGGCGAAAAGAAATTCATAAGTGGCGAAAATGATTTTTTTTAGATGTACCATGTACAAAAATTGTGTAGTCCTAGTTTGCTCCTTTGTTTATTCAATGATAACTCCCATTGTTTATTTAATTCAGCAGAGGTGGGAAAATTGAAACCTGCATGTAGGAAACCACGTCTCGCTTGAACGAACACAGCTGACTAGGTAACTAGTCTGGTATACCCTGGAGTCTAGAGTCCAAGTTGTTAAAATAAAGTCAAGTTTTAAATCTAATTCTTATTACTTTTTAATTACTTCTTTTCCCAATTAATTAATGAAATGATGAAAATTTACATTTTTAAAAAATGCCATATATTTTTACTACGTCTGTAGCCCCCCCCCCCCCCCTCCTTCCCAGGCAAACAAAAAATTATAGACAAGAGGACATTTTCTGTCAAGAGTTGGCTGATATCAATTCAGTATCAAATTAATTGTATAATTCCAACTTTATTTATTTATTTTTTAAATGGACACTACCATAAGCTTTAAACATAAAAATTTTAAAACAATGTCTGTGATAAACATAATAAAAAGAAAGGAATAACATAAAGTGCATTGCATTGTGGAGAAATCAGATGTAATAATGCCTTTCCTTTTGTCGCGATAAGTGGCGAAAAATATTTTCGGTCCAGTGGGAGCCCTGGTTTTAAGTAATATTTTATTACAGTTTAGGACACAAAAGGGGAAGGGGTAGAAAACACACACACACCCCACACACACCCCCCTTCTATAACTGCCAATATACAGGGTTACTTTTTTTCCTTTAGTATGGACTTGATTTTGATCTGCATTAGAAATACACTTTTTTTCCCCTCCTCTTTTCTCGAAATGATTTCTTTACCATTTTTTTCTATTTAAATTCTATAGATTAAAATTATCTACCCTACAAGTAATAGTTGATTCAAAAACTGTAAACAATGTTCTTTTTTTTTCTTTTGGACAATGAAGCTTGAGGTATTTCCTGCATGTAATATTCCAGTTGACTCCTTTAGAATTAGTCATCTGTTTCATGCTAGTCTAGAGATGGTAAGGACCTCTTGTTTATCAAGTCTTCTGTCTATAAATTATGTATTGATGTGGTTTTTATTTTTATTTATTTTCTTTTTTTTATCACTTGGAACAACAGATCAAAGTCTTATTTTGTACATAATGATAACAAATTTTGAGAGTCACATGGATCATTACACTGTGAAAAAAATCTACTTTAGTGTCGATAAGTAGGCATTAAGTTGTCAATCATGTAATATGTTTGACACAGGAATAAGGAGTGCATTTGAGAAGGAACTCCATATTTTATTATTGATTTATCATTACATATTAAGATTTAAATCATTTAATAAAAAAAACAGAATTTTGTTATTTTGTTATTTATGAACTCATGTATACAAAAGGCCCATAAAGTTTGAAAAACGTGCATTTACAACAATTATACATGTAGCAGTAAATATCGTGGAAATGAATATAGCAAATAAATATTTACAGTAACATGTACAGGCAGTACAGCTAGTTCATCTTCAATGCAGTAAACACCGATTCCTCTAATCATGCTAATGCCATTTAACTTGGAGTCACTATTAAAGACATGTTGGAAGTGTCATCAGCTTCACTTTTTCCTTATAACATGTATAAATTTCTTCCTTGCTATCTAGAAGTTTAGATATCTTTTTTAAATTCTGAATTTCATTATGGCCAGTTTGAGACCAAGGTTTGAACATGTTGAATGTCTTATTCATTTTGATCACCAAATTTTTTAGCTCTTTTTAGCTTAAAAGGCTCAGTTGAGGTATTCTGATCTAAAAGCAAGCAGGCTTTCTTTTAAATATGACTATTACCTATTTTATGGTGATAGTCACTGGTCAGCTAGGGAAGCTTACTCCTCTATGGCACCTGAATCTACTTCTTATGTTTTCAGAATTCTCACCTACTGTGTTAGCTCTGCTCTCAATTTTTATTGTTTGATTGAACCTTTTAGCATGATAACTATTCATAATCCTCCAATTTTGTTTACCGTATTTGATCTTTGACGCATGGCTTGATGTCTCTCATAGGCTATGTACAAAGAGATCTGGCATGCAAATAATTCAAAGCTATCTATTTTCAATTAATCTTATTGTTGCAATCCTTGGAAAATGTTAGTTTACATGTGAATGCATGACATATTAGTGGGTGTGTCTCATTGAAAATTCATCTTCATTCTTTAAGATGCTAACTGTTTTTGTTGGAAATTTAGTGATCAACATGCAATTATCGGTATTTTTCATTACCATAATATCAGTGTACATGCAGTTGTTGAATTAAAAAGTTTTAAAACTTGCACCTCAATCGAGATGTCCTTGCTGTACTTGAGAAAAAGGTAAACATGGTAAAGGTTATTTAAATGGTAAATCAAATTACAGGTACACGGTATTAAGTTTTAAACAGACCTATTTTATATCAATTTTGGCTGGCACATATATACATGTATACCCCAGATATTTTTATTTACTGAAACAGTTTGTTGAACTGCAAAGTAGTTGGAGCCTTTCAAGGCATGTTTTGGGGGAATTTATTTTTTAAAAAAAAGGATGTCATTGTGGCAAATTCTTTCTTTTATTAACATCTATAGCACGAGCAAGATCAGTGATTTAAATGTGTGTTTATAAATTTTCAAAGCAGGTAAAACATCCTGGATGATTCTATGCATATTAAAGAACTTCGCAGTTAGGAAAAGGTGAAAGGAAAACACAACAGAAGGGGAGAGACTTCAAGAATCAAATTTGGGACTGCTGTGCAATTATTACTCCATCCTTCACAATGAGCATGATGAATATGTCAATGGTAAGTTTATTTACTATTTTTTTTTTTTTTGAGAAAGCATTGTCTTTTATAAGATTTTGATTTTAAAGAAAGCAAAGGATAAGCTTTGTTAATCTGGCTTTTTTGAGCGATATGATTTAACATTTGCCTATTGTTTGCTTGTCTGTTATCCAGCATCTTTTTCATGTTATTGTACTGTTACAAATCCTTCCTGATTGGAGTGGGTTTAAGTCTGTTTGATCTTTCATGCACTGTTCATCATTGATTAATTATGAGATATGTACATTTAAACACAGCTAAAAGCAGCTAAAGATATCAGGATGCTCCAAGCAAAAAATGAGTTGCTTCAAATTTCAATGTCAGTCAAATTGTAACTTTTCATTGCGGAAAGGACAAGTTATATGATCATCTTATGGTTACAACACAGAGAGAATACTGGTATCTTACCATCATGACACGGGGGCATAGGTTCTAATCTAGTCCACTCCACAACTTGGTAATGACTTCAGAGTGACCTTTGAAATACAGGTTCAAGGACAAAATGACAGAACCAGACCAATGCAATGAATATTTTTCATTTGTTTGAAATAACAGTAAAGATTAACTTGTCTGCAATTGGGTAAGGGACCATCATTGCTAGTTGAACACTGTTTTCTTCATCATGTTCATAGATGAGTCAGGGTTTTGCTTTGATTTTTTAGTCAGGATTTTTGCTTTGATTTTCAAGTTGGTTGCAGAAATGTATGGCACATGAGAGGAGGATTTTATGTCAATTTTTATATTGCTTAGCACAACCATTTTGGAGGGGGGTCAATCTTAGTTTGGACCTCGAAAATAATTGATGGAAGGATAGCCTTGCATGATATCAGAGGGATCAAATCTTGCAAAGCATCCTTGGGTAGTGTAGAAATTAGTTTTAATGATTAATCTTCAGGGCTAGAATTGGGTCATTATAGTAGATCCAATTTTTACCAAGGAATAAACAGGGGGAAATTTTCCTGATGAGGAACACATAGGTCGTTTGACTTAGGTGAGCATTATGGACCATGGGCATTTTCTTATAACTATGTCCGAGTTTTACAGGGAGATCTCATCTCCATAAACTGGGTCAAGTGAAGACCAAGAAAACAATCAAATCAAAGTATTATTTGATATTTAATTAGTCCTTTGTATGTTGAGGTGCTTTTATTACATGTATAATCAGGAAGTGATAACCTTATGAGGGCATGAAGAGTAGCTGGTGCAACAGGGCACACAGGAGTCAAATTGATTTGATGTTACCCTCACTATTGTTTGCTTACAGAGATCAAGTAAGCATAATGAAAAAGTTTTGTATAGTTTTTTTTTTTTAGATGAATGAACTGATATTTTCTGTTCTTAAAAAAAAAAATTCACAAGCTCTACTGTTTGAAGTCCTTGTCTATGGGATTTTTGTATTACTAAGTGAAAAATATATTTTGTTTTAAGGATTTAAAAAAAAAGATGTGCTTGTGAAACATTGATGACCATGTATAGGCAAAATAGCAAAGGTTAAACTTTGTCAAATACAAATCAAATATGTTGGTACCCAAAGAAAGGTCTTCTCACAAGAAATACTACTGTGAAGTATGAAAGCATAAGTTATGGCTAAAGTAAATGATTGGTATTTTTATATAATTGTGTGTCAAACTCTAAGGTCAAGGTCAAAAGGTCAAATTTGGTGGTATACCCCCAAAAAGGTCTGGTCACAAGGAAAACACCTGTCAGGCTGTGAAATATGAAAGCTATATAGCCTCACCCAGTCAAAAGTTATGGGCAAGGTTAAAGTTTTTGCAGACAAACAGATGGACAGGGCAAAGACTATATACCCCCGAATCTTCGATTTTGGGGGCATAAAAATCAAAATACTTAGTCTTTATAAGCTAGTGTGTAATGCGTATATATAATTCTGAGCTTTGATTTTATAAAAAATAAGCGGGGTTTCAGCTGACGTACTGTTGAACATCCTCTTTTTCATATCTGATTAATCATAAAACAGAAGAACAATTGAAAATGGTCACTGGAAAACATAATAATAGATCGTTGTTTAATTCATATAGAACCTTCTCCCTGATTCATTTCCCTTGTGTTTGATTGGTGAAATCTAGAACACATATAAATTGTGAGTTCATTTCATCAGCTACTAGCTATAGGCCTTTCGCTTCCTTCATTTTACTATTGAACAGGCACTTTTGGGACACAACATCTTTAGGTATGTGAAATCTTTGATTAAGTCTTTAGGTATGGGGTTAAGAACAGTGGCAGATCCAGAAATTTCAGAATGGGAGGGGCATCATACTGTTGTCAGTAAAGCACTTATAAAAAAAAGTTTCGTCTTATATTTTTGCAAACATCCATAATAAGTGCAAATCAAAATTTGTTTTCATCCTGGCTCCTGCTGGGCTGAGAAATTTTGCATTTAGGGTTATCAAAATCCAGACTTAACTGTTGTTTAAAATTTGCCCTTTTGTATAGTTTTTCAAGTAAATGACTCCGACATACATTTTAGCATTTTATCCTAATGCAATTTGTGTTAAGTTTTATTTAAACAGGAAATGTTTACGTTGTTACTCCCCTTGTCGGGGACAAGCCCCTTAAGATGTCATGCAAAAGGAACATTGTTTTCATGCTTTGCTTACACTGAAGGGCATGACTTGGTTACTTAGTTGTTGGGGGTGCTATATAGATAAAGACTAGTGAAGTGTATTTGTGATCTTAATCCACCAATACCTCATCAATTAGAGCAAGCAAATTAGCTGATTAAAGAAATTTTAAACAAATGGTTTAATCATTTGATCTATGACTTGATATACATGTAGAGTAGATAACATTCTTTCTTAGCAGTTGGAAAGGTACATGTAGATCTATATTACTACATTTTTTCATGAGAATTTTTTTTCCCTTAATTGATCATATTGTTTTTCCATTGTGCAATTTTTTTTTATTAATTTGAAGAAAAAAAATGCCACAGAAATAAACATCTGTAAAACCTTAATATTGGGGGTGGGTTGATGGATAGGTGGTGTGGGGATTGAGTGTTAGTGTTAATATAGTCTCATTCTGTAATTAAATGCTTATGTGCATAAAATATTTAGACTTCATATGTTTCTTGTTTGACTATAATGATGTGCACAGTGAAATTTTCGTCCTAATGCAGGTCATTATCAATGTCGCAGGACTGCTTTGGTGTGCATGCACTTTATTCAGGGTGTTTAATTTACTTTGGTACGTGACATAATTTAGGTACTCTGTGTACTGTATGTTTTACCTTGTAGACATGTAATCATTGATAGTCTACTCACGTTCACAGATATAGTATCAGGACATGAATATTTAAATTAAAATGTGTATTAGTGTACAAAATATATCCTATTTAAATGACATTTATTTTAATGAGAGAGAGGGAGAAATGTAATGTTTATTAGATGACAATGAATATATTCCCAAATGTGTTTTTTCTTGTGTCAGTAGACACATGATACACTTATAAGCAGTCTGTAAAAAAAAAAATTGGTTAATTTATTTTCACTATTGATCAATACTTCTGATATGTACACTTGGAATGAATACCTTTTTAAAACACTTTACTTTTCTGTGAAATAATAAAGGAAATAAAATTACATATATAATTATCTAAGTGATGTTTAATATATTCAAATACATGTACATCCTCTTTCTTTTTTGAAATTCATGTTCGATCGTTTACCTGTTTATTATTGATATGGCGTCTCATTTCTCAGAAGAAGAAAAAACTGTGACGCAACCGAACTAAGTGAAGTTGGTCACTGATTCCTTGAAAGTGATCTTAGATTAATGATTTAAAGAACCTCAAGAAAACAAAGGGAGTAATAAATCAAGAGAGTAAATTATCATCCATACTGTGACTCGCTGATTAACACAGGTGCCTGAAAATTCATTTAGCGGTTTGTCATCTGAGACAGGAAAGACAAATCTTTTAAGGCCGATCAGAAAATCATTTTTTACATGGTAGAGATTCCCCATACCTGTGTCACATGTTTGGTCTGAGGGTTTTCCCTCTATCAAAATTTATCTATTGCTTTGGGTCCCTGACAGCAGCTGTTACTGGGTATACTAGGCCATCTATATAGGACTTCATGCACATTTCGTTTTCGGGGCAAAGTGTTATTTTTATTGTGGAATTTTAACAATTTAAAAAAGGTAGGCTCTAATGAATGAGGGTATGTGTATAGATCTACTCAGAGATTAAGTGTAATTCACACAATGACTTTAATGAATGCATTTCAATTCCATGGCATTCAAAATTTCTGGTGATACCCTGTACTCTGTTTCAGCACAATATAAAGCAAGCAGGATCTTAAATTTGTCATATATTTCCCTTTCAATGTTAAAATAAAGTACTTTATTTTGAGAATAATTTTTTTTCCAAATATTTTTATGCTCTAGTATTAATTTTTTTAAAAAGATAAATTATGTAATTTTCCTAATCAGAAAGTTAATTAAGGTATCTTACTGTAAATCGATCATCTTATATTAAATATCTTAATTAAAATGCATTGATGCCATGGATGATTGCACATTTTTGTCTTCAGACCTTTTTCATTTTTCTCACCTGAGCCGAAGGCTCAAGTGAGCTTTTCTGATCAAAGAATGTTTCCACTTAAGCATAGTGCCGTGGCCCCTTTTTCGGACCCCTCTAACTTTATCTAATTAACTCAAATGTTAATTATTTTACACCTAACTCATACTTTGTTATCTTTGTGGTATATTACTTGCAGAAATTCACACTGAAAACCGTGTCTTAGTTTTATAAATGGCAATTTAAAAAGCCATATACTTCGTGTTAATTCCGGAATGTTGCGCTTGTCCGAGTTGGGTTTTAATTGTGTCACATTAATATTCAGTGTAGGCCGGGCATTTCATCTATCGATTGAAAACATGTAATATTTAGCCAGTTATAATGGCTTTTGGAATTTAATACAAAACACAAACTGTATACAGAAAAATAAACACAAAGAATTTTT